GCAGCCGGGGGCCTGCAGCAGGCAGCTGCCTGCGGGCTGTGGGGGCTTCCCACGCAATACAGCCCCAGACTTCAGCCCCATCTGCTGCTGGGGCTGCAGCGCCCCTGCTATCCCCTGGTAGCAGTGAGCAGGGGCATTGGGGGGAGGCATACCTGGCTTCATCCCGCCAGGTAGGAGCATGAGCAGGGGTAACTGCTGCCCTCCAGGTGGGAGCTGACCCACAACAGTGGGCAGCCCCTCAGGTGTGAGCTGGATCACAATGGGGGGCACCCCCCCAGGTGGCAGCTGACCCACATTTGGAGGCATTCCCCCAGGTGGCAGCTGACCCGCCGCTGGGGGCTTCCCCCCAGGTGGGAGCTGAACCACCATTAGGGGAAGCCCCCCAGGTGGGAGCTGCACTCCCTGTCCCGGGACACCGGGTACCCCAGGGCAGACAGAGGCCTGAGGCAACGTGCCGGTGACACTGGAGACAGGGAGGGGTTGAGTCATCACAGGCACTGCTCCGCCGATGGTGGGCTGCACTGCAGCAGTGGCTGGTGGAGGCACAAAGGATCCGGGAAAATGCGCGTCGGGTGTCGGAAGCACCGTCAGCATCCGTGGAGAAATTCTCTCTGTGGGGAAATGCCCAAATGGGCGCTGGGGTGAGATTTGGGGCACTGGGATCCCTTGGAGGGCCGCAGTGCCAGGAGCAAGAGGAATCTGCTGCCTTACCTGCCATGGTAGCTCGAGAGTGGCAGTGGAAGGTTCCGTGACTGCTGGGGTCAGCCCCTCTCCCTTGAGCTCACAGTGCCCCTCAGTGACCCGTACGGCCCTGTGGTGTCACAGGCATTGCTCTGTGCCTGCCCCACAAACACTTAATGTGGCTGCTCAGTGCAGCCTTCCATTGTTTCAAAGGAGATTATAAAGAGCAGGGAAATGAACTTTTTGTATGGTGCTGGTGATTGGACAAAGGGGGAATAGTTCTAATGTAAAGGAGGAGAGATCTGAATTAGATGTGGCATGGGATTCCGTCCCACTGTAACAATGGAACATGTCCGAGTCCTCCGCATGAAACTGAATGTATATAAGTACACAGGGCCAGATGATATCCATCCCGGGGTTCTGAGAGAGATGGCTGATGTGGTTGCTAAGCCGCTCTCCATCATAACTGAGAAATCTTGGCTGTCCGGTGAAGCTTCTTGTGGCTGGAAAAAGGGAAACATTGCTCAAATTTTTAAGAACGGGTGAAGCCAGTGAGCCTCACCTCTG